GGTAATACAGTGCTGGCTGGAGACACATGCAGCACAATGTAGACGCTCAACACCGGACAGGAAGCAAGGGGCAGAACACACTTTAAATACTGAACTTAACTAAGCGAATTAATGAGACACACCTGAGATCAATGAACATAATCAGACTAGGGAGCCATGGCAGAACGGGCAGTCCAGGGATTCATGGCGGAACAGGCTGTTCAGGGGGCCATGGCGGAGCGGCCTCCGTGGCCTTGGCCTCGGCACTTGGCCTGGCCTCTACGTCCGGAGCCCTATAGTCCCTCAACAAAAAATTCCTTGGGGGCCAAGCGTAGGAACAACGGTGCTCCCTGGGCTTGACTCAGGAATTGTGGCCCTCCCTGGGCCAGATGGAGCAGGGATGGAGCCGACACTTGAGTGGACTCAGGGGCTGGAGCCGACACTTGAGTGTACTCAGGGGCTGGAGCCGACACTTGAGCGGACTCAGGGCCTTTGGTTTTTAATCAACAAGGGTGATGTTTGAGGGCTCCTGTAAGTCACTAATTCTGATGTCTGGCTGTGCTCTGATACAGTTCACATCAACTACAGTATGTGACAGAAGCAACATCCTGATTATTTACAACAGTCAGCATTTGCACTACATAGTAAACATGTGCTCTCTGTCTTTTTACCCTGTACTAATAGTGAACAGTCCTATGTACAAAAATGACAGCTGTAAAGTGGTAGAGTAAAAAGTGATGCGATGCTTCATTTCTCCAAATCTGTTTCCATAAAGAAAAAAAGAAAAAAAACTCATCTACATCTTGGATGTACATTTTAAGCAAATCTGCATTTTGGGGTGAATGATTTCTTTATTGTGTGTGCTAACTGTAACAGTGTACGCATAATCTTTTGACTTTACCTTTTCTCCCTTTGTCCAGGTTCTTCCTATAAGCTCAGTGTGCACCTTGTTCAGCTCCTGCACGTTGCAAGTTGACTTCCCGTCCTGCTGGCTGATCTGTTGTGTCCTTAGCCTACCACACCATTTGCACTACAGTCTCAAGGGTGAGTACAGTCATTAGCAGCATCTTCCCAGAGAGCCTCTTGGCCTGTTTTTTGACCCCAAGCCAGTCTCTCCTGTTTATTGCGCACCAAAGTTATGGATTTCTGATGAAGTGCACCTTTTAAATGCACTAGAATATTTATCAAATTTAGCTTAAAAATAGCTTTTATTTGTCACGATTGCCTACGGAGAGGAGCAAGGAACGCGGAGACGAAGGATAAATACGAACAACAATATTTAATAAACAAACCTAGGGTAATACAGTGCTGGCTGGAGACACATGCAGCACAATGTAGACGTTCAACACCGGACAGGAAGCAAGGGGCAGAACACACTTTAAATACTGAACTTAACTAAGGGAATTAATGAGACACACCTGAGATCAATGAACATAATCAGACTAGGGAGCCATGGCAGAACGGGCAGTCCAGGGAGTCATGGCGGAACAGGCTGTTCAGGGGGCCATGGCGGAGCGGCCTCCGTGGCCTTGGCCTCAGCACTTGGCCTGGCCTCTACGTCCGGAGCCCTATAGTCCCTCAACAAAAAATTCCTTGGGGGCCAAGCGTAGGAACAACGGTGCTCCCTGGGCTTGACTCAGGAATTGTGGCCCTCCCTGGGCCAGATGGAGCAGGGATGGAGCCGACACTTGAGTGGACTCAGGGGCTGGAGCCGACACTTGAG